AAAAACACGGTTCCTGTTGAAGTACATTATTAATACACTACTATATTGAATCCACTTTCTCATTTGAGTAAACATAATTATACAAGCTTGAGAAACTTTAACTCTTCGGAAAATTAATACACTTATATGGGTTTGACCTAAGTAATCCCAGAAGCTTGACAAGAAGTTTGAATAAGAAATAATTCGAGAGGTAGTCACATAGAAAATGTGCTCACTCCAGGTACAGGTATCTTCCTAGGAAAACTTGGGTCAGACTTAACCGCAAAGGATGAAGAAGATGCAACGAACTGATAAACAAATGGATGTTAAGAGTTACAGCTTTATAGTTAAATTCAGGACATACGAGTACAATAACATTTCTTCTATATGTAAAATATGTATTATATAATACATATTTTACAATTTTTATAAACAATATAGAAAACTATTTTTAATATAACCCAGGCCTAACTCGGTTCTAATCTATGACAATTATCAAAAAGCTGATAGAGAAGGTGAAGTAGAAAAGAAAACATAAATAATATTAGTTGCATGATAATATGATTTATTAATCGGTCGATATAATATTATTGAAACAAAAAAATCTCGTTATTTTCTGAACACATTTTTAGAAACTAACTTTAATAAAATAAATTAAATACGAAGATCTTAAATTACTTTCAGAGTGACTATATTTCTAGTACCAACAAGGCTTTTTAAATTTTATTTTATATAAGAAGAACTTCCAAGTTACAGGTAATAATAGACATATTAATTTTAAATTATAATATTTTAGTTAAATTTCACACGTGTATTTACAGTTATGTGTTTTCTTTTAAAATCATTCATTGTTATATTATTTTACTAAAATCAAAGATACATTTTTTTTATTATTTATAATTTTTCTGTTACTATTTTATAGATCATTATATATACTTAATGAAAATTGTGTGTCGTGTTTTATTTCAAATTGGTCGGGTGTTATCAGATTCCTTAACAAGATTACCTAGCAAAAAAAGCACATTGTTATAATATGTATTTTATACATTTCTATATTAAAAAAAAATTATATTATTTGTGAAAATCGTTACATATCGATACGTAGCGTTGTTTTTTATTGTCAATAAATAATAATAATCCCATTGCATAAGCCAATGTAATTTTAACATAATTTAATTTACATGCATTTTGCTTTATTAAAAAATAATATTATAGGCACTGACCTATAATTGTCTATAATAATATAGACAATTTTAAAAATATAAATATATATTGTAATAGTTAATAGTCAATTACCGTCAAATGGTTTATAGCCAACGTCTTCTTCTAAAACAGTAAAAGTTGAGTTATTATACGTTTAATTATTAATAAACATTAAGTCAATTTAAGGATATGTTGTTTGAAACATATTCAGTACTCTTGGCAGCTATAGCTATAGCTAATTCAAACAAACTATATGTGTTATCCATTATTAATATAAAGAATGGACTAATTGTAAACAATATATTGTATTTGAAATATCTAAGTTCTCTAGTTAATTATTGATTACTTACGAGCTAGTGAGATAATATGGCCGAATGAAAGGACACATAATGCAATATACATCAAATATATTGTTATATTAAATAAGTTCATGATGCTATTTATCTAGAAAAAAAAATATTCCAAATAGTTAGTTAATTTAATAAATAGTATGGTAACTTATTATACAAGTATACAACTATTATAGTACATTGCCGTTTTTAGCATTCGAACTATGGGAGTATTTCAGCAATCCTACTAATAATAAATAGGTAGCTTAAATTAAATATAATTAAACTAGCGGTGCTGGTACTCTTATTAGTCTAGTACTTTCACTAAATAAGTCAATGTTGTGACATGATTCAATTGTCACGTCATGAAAATACTAAAAAACTAATTTTTGCCATTTACAGTCATTAAAATTCCCAAAAACATATAATGCAAATTGCATTACATAAAATAATAATTATTAAAAATTAATAATCATATTTTAATGTTGATTTATTGATTATACAATAATATTAAGTTTAGAAAGTGAATTTTAAGAAGTCATTAGTTATTTATTATTACTTCCTTTTATGTTTAATACCAAAAAACTTTATTATTTCTATTTAAAAACTGTTTTCCAAATCATAATACATTATTACTATTAACGGTATTATTATTCATAATTTTATTCAAAGTTCGAACTAATGACTTACGATATTATTATACATAACGAACATGATAAAGTATATAGTTTAAACTGATTTGCATTTTTTTAACAAATTTGTTAGGAAATATAAAATAATAATCTGTAACGAATTCGTACAAAATATATTCAAACTTACCTATTCAGCTTGTACACAGTAAACTACTTGATGAAGTCGATTGTTCAAAAGTGATTTACAAAACGAAAAGTTTTTGTAGTTATTGTAGTTTTTGGGTTTGGGAACTAGTGTGACTGACGTGAACAATGTATTAAGCAACACTTGTTCAAATAAAGATATCTTACGCGTTGGTTAACTGTTTGAACTATTATGAGTTATAATAAATTAATGGGATTTTGTTCATCAAAATTCGCTATTCAAATTTATTACAACAACATTTTTCATAAAATAATATTTTAAAAGATATATACATTATGCTATGTTGAATTTTTTTTAGCTGAAAACAATACATTACTTTGCTGGCGTCATTTTTTTTTTAACACCAACGTCCAACAATATAAAAAGTATTTTTCAAATCTCGTTGTTGACTTCATGACATCATTCTGCGTTTTGAATGTAAGACTTACATTGTAAGTTAATTATACAAGTTCCCATTTGACTTTTAAAAGTTACTCCATAAAACAATAATTTTTACCCTACGCTGCATACGGTTTATTGTCATTCATTTATTTCTTTATTCTCTGTTTTTGTATGTTTAAAAACAAAATTACATAAAAAAGATATAATTTCTCTAAGGGATATAGGTACAACATTTATTAACAATAATAATGTCAAACTGTCCAGCTCATATAAATAGCCGCTAAAACACAGCCAAAACTGCTTCGAGGTTATAGTATTGTTTTTAAGAGTTTGAACACTGCTGTAAAATTAAAACAGAATAAAGTAAAGTATTTTGCCATTTGAAAATATTCAAATCAATACAAGCACAGACTTTTTTTTATAAATGTGAAGCGACAATGCAAAACGTACTATTGGTATTTTTGACAATATCGAATTATAAATCGATTTTTACGGTTAAAAGTTTGACTCTATTCGCCACACATATATCGATGGTATAAAATATATCTGTAAACTAAATATAAAATTCCGTGTATTCTACAATTTTATACCGTGCTATAAAATCCAGCAACATCTCTATGGATAAGGTATACACCAATATTAGGGGTATTTATTTTTATATGCTATTAGGGTTTGATCTTTTTGAAATCATTAGTAATTTTTTGACGTTTTTGGAAACTGAAATAAAATCTGAGGTCTATGTAAACTATAGGAAGTCTTCTTAATGAAATTTCAATCTTCTTCTCTAAAAAAATATTATCTCATCGTAGAATGGTCAATTCATAACAAGAGGCTTCATCCTATAGAATGTAATAAATTCCTGTAGAAGGTGTTTTTTTGGGTACAAAATGGTGCTCGGTTTGAATCCTTATAAGAAAAATTATTATTTATAAGACTTATAAAGAAGCTTAAAATACTTTAAAAACATAGTTGTAATAAAAACTTAGGGTTTCTTAGATGGAAACATATAAAGGTATATATAAGAAACCCTAAGTTTTTATTACAACTATGTTTTTAAAGTATTTTAAGCTTCTTTATAAGTCTTATAAATAATAATTTTTCTTATAAGGATTCAAACCGAGCACGATTTTGTACCCAAAAAAACACCTTCTACAGGAATTTATTACATTCTATAGGATGAAGCCTCTTGTTATGAATTGACCATTCTACGATGAGATAATATTTTTTTAGAGAAGAAGATTGAAATTTCATTAAGAAGACTTCCTATAGTTTACATAGACCTCAGATTTTATTTCAGTTTCCAAAAACGTCAAAAAATTACTAATGATTTCAAAAAGATCAAACCCTAATAGCATATAAAAATAAATACCCCTAATATTGGTGTATACCTTATCCATAGAGATGTTGCTGGATTTTATAGCACGGTATAAAATTGTAGAATACACGGAATTTTATATTTAGTTTACAGATATATTTTATACCATCGATATATGTGTGGCGAATAGAGTCAAACTTTTAACCGTAAAAATCGATATATAATTCGATATTGTCAAAAATACCAATAGTACGTTTTGCATTGTCGCTCCACATTTATAAAAAAAAGTCTGTGCTTGTATTGATTTGAATATTTTCAAATGGCAAAATACTTTACTTTATTCTGTTTTAATTTTACAGCAGTGTTCAAACTCTTAAAAACAATACTATAACCTCGAAGCAGTTTTGGCTGTGTTTTAGCGGCTATTTATATGAGCTGGACAGTTTGACATTATTATTGTTAATAAATGTTGTACCTATCTCCCTTAGAGAAATTATATCTTTTTTATGTAATTTTGTTTTTAAACATACAAAAACAGAGAATAAAGAAATAAATGAATGACAATAAACCGTATGCAGCGTAGGGTAAAAATTATTGTTTTATGGAGTAACTTTTAAAAGTCAAATGGGAACTTGTATAATTAACTTACAATGTAAGTCTTACATTCAAAACGCAGAATGATGTCATGAAGTCAACAACGAGATTTGAAAAATACTTTTTATATTGTTGGACGTTGGTGTTAAAAAAAAAATGACGCCAGCAAAGTAATGTATTGTTTTCAGCTAAAAAAAATTCAACATAGCATAATGTATATATCTTTCAAAATATTATTTTATGAAAAATGTTGTTGTAATAAATTTGAATAGCGAATTTTGATGAACAAAATCCCATTAATTTATTATAACTCATAATAGTTCAAACAGTTAACCAACGCGTAAGATATCTTTATTTGAACAAGTGTTGCTTAATATATTGTTCACGTCAGTCACACTAGTTCCCAAACCCAAAAACTACAATAACTACAAAAACTTTTCGTTTTGTAAATCACTTTTGAAAAATCGACTTCATCAAGTAGTTTACTGTGTACAAGCTGAATAGGTAAGTTTGAATATATTTTGTACGAATTCGTTACAGATTATTATTTTATATTTCCTAACAAATTTGTTAAAAAAATGCAAATCAGTTTAAACTTTATACTTTATCATGTTCGTTATGTATAATAATATCGTAAGTCATTAGTTCGAACTTTGAATAAAATTATGAATAATAATACCGTTAATAGTAATAATGTATTATGATTTGGAAAACAGTTTTTAAATAGAAATAATAAAGTTTTTTGGTATTAAACATAAAAGGAAGTAATAATAAATAACTAATGACTTCTTAAAATTCACTTTCTAAACTTAATATTATTGTATAATCAATAAATCAACATTAAAATATGATTATTAATTTTTAATAATTATTATTTTATGTAATGCAATTTGCATTATATGTTTTTGGGAATTTTAATGACTGTAAATGGCAAAAATTAGTTTTTTAGTATTTTCATGACGTGACAATTGAATCATGTCACAACATTGACTTATTTAGTGAAAGTACTAGACTAATAAGAGTACCAGCACCGCTAGTTTAATTATATTTAATTTAAGCTACCTATTTATTATTAGTAGGATTGCTGAAATACTCCCATAGTTCGAATGCTAAAAACGGCAATGTACTATAATAGTTGTATACTTGTATAATAAGTTACCATACTATTTATTAAATTAACTAACTATTTGGAATATTTTTTTTTCTAGATAAATAGCATCATGAAATTATTTAATATAACAATATATTTGATATATATTGCATTATGTGTCCTTTCATTCGGCCATATTATCTCACTAGCTCGTAAGTAATCAATAATTAACTAGAGAACTTAGATATTTCAAATACAATATATTGTTTACAATTAGTCCATTCTTTATATTAATAATGGATAACACATATAGTTTGTTTGAATTAGCTATAGCTATAGCTGCCAAGAGTACTGAATATGTTTCAAACAACATATCCTTAAATTGACTTAATGTTTATTAATAATTAAACGTATAATAACTCAACTTTTACTGTTTTAGAAGAAGACGTTGGCTATAAACCATTTGACGGTAATTGACTATTAACTATTACAATATATATTTATATTTTTAAAATTGTCTATATTATTATAGACAATTATAGGTCAGTGCCTATAATATTATTTTTTAATAAAGCAAAATGCATGTAAATTAAATTATGTTAAAATTACATTGGCTTATGCAATGGGATTATTATTATTTATTGACAATAAAAAACAACGCTACGTATCGATATGTAACGATTTTCACAAATAATATAATTTTTTTTTAATATAGAAATGTATAAAATACATATTATAACAATGTGCTTTTTTTGCTAGGTAATCTTGTTAAGGAATCTGATAACACCCGACCAATTTGAAATAAAACACGACACACAATTTTCATTAAGTATATATAATGATCTATAAAATAGTAACAGAAAAATTATAAATAATAAAAAAAATGTATCTTTGATTTTAGTAAAATAATATAACAATGAATGATTTTAAAAGAAAACACATAACTGTAAATACACGTGTGAAATTTAACTAAAATATTATAATTTAAAATTAATATGTCTATTATTACCTGTAACTTGGAAGTTCTTCTTATATAAAATAAAATTTAAAAAGCCTTGTTGGTACTAGAAATATAGTCACTCTGAAAGTAATTTAAGATCTTCGTATTTAATTTATTTTATTAAAGTTAGTTTCTAAAAATGTGTTCAGAAAATAACGAGATTTTTTTGTTTTAATAATATTATATCGACCGATTAATAAATCATATTATCATGCAACTAATATTATTTATGTTTTCTTTTCTACTTCACCTTCTCTATCAGCTTTTTGATAATTGTCATAGATTAGAACCGAGTTAGGCCTAGGTTATATTAAAAATAGTTTTCTATATTGTTTATAAAAATTGTAAAATATGTATTATGTAATACATATTTTACATATAGAAGAAATGTTATTGTACTCGTATGTCCTGAATTTAACTATAAAGCTGTAACTCTTAACATCCATTTGTTTATCAGTTCGTTGCATCTTCTTCATCCTTTGCGGTTAAGTCTGACCCAAGTTTTCCTAGGAAGATACCTGTACCTGGAGTGAGCACATTTTCTATGTGACTACCTCTCGAATTATTTCTTATTCAAACTTCTTGTCAAGCTTCTGGGATTACTTAGGTCAAACCCATATAAGTGTATTAATTTTCCGAAGAGTTAAAGTTTCTCAAGCTTGTATAATTATGTTTACTCAAATGAGAAAGTGGATTCAATATAGTAGTGTATTAATAATGTACTTCAACAGGAACCGTGTTTTTATGGAAAAAAATGCAAGTTGTTAATATAATCAGGACTTTGTGTGTAGTTTATTTATTACAATGTTCATGTTATTTTTGGAATCTCGCACTACTGTCAGTGCCATAGAGTATAGTGTATCCATAATAAACAATTGTACACTGTTTTATAATTGCGAACCGCGAACACAGTGTTATTGTTCAGTGTAACTATACGAAATTAACTAGGTATATTTTATTATTTAATTTAGAAAAACACAATGTTAAGTCTCCTGAATTATGTGTCGGGATACTATTGCTATTGTTGTACATCCACACTTTATAATAGCAGTAACAGTTATAGTGCAATGGTGGTAAATAACATTTGAAATTTTATCGACGAGGGCTGTGGAAAATTCCATTGGGGTTACACGAGCCGGTTAAAAGGTTATAATTAAAACCACTACGGAAATGATGTCCGAATCGATGGACTATACCCTGAATACTGTAGTAACTACACGTTACAGTATGATATTATACATTCTGTTACTTGCATTGCCATTAAAGACGCACACGCAAGTGCTCTGTATAATTTCGACATTTTTTATTTGCCCATTTTCTGTGTCAAAGGTGGCAATCGAATGATTTAAGACGGTGTAAGAATTCAATATGTTATTTTTCTTTATTTCATAAAGAAATCCAGCCATCCCATGATTTGACAGTCATAGTGGGTGAACTTTATTATGCCCCAAAGTAGCATTCGATACGTCAGAACGTGCTGTATATATGCATCGTCTATAGTGAAATGATTGACAGACAAAAACGCTGTCGGTAAAAAAAAAAAAGATAAAAAGGAATAATAAAGTAGCTTCTTTTTTCTCGGAAGAGTGTTGCTGTCAAGAGAGCAAGAACGGTAAAGAATACAAATTCATAGTAAGTCACAACTTTTTTAAAATGCTCCTGTACAATTTTGGACATGTGTTCTTTATCCTAAATGGGTACGTCTTAAATGAATAAATATTATATTCATTAAAAAAATTCTATTCTCTCGCACTAGTACATTTAAACGGCACAATACTTGATTACGCGATTAATCGGAATGATTCACATTTAATTTGTTGATGGTATTCGTGGCCTAAAATACTTTTTTGTTGAGTTTAGAGTTGAGTGTTGGTTGAGTTGAGTTAGTTTTAGTTTGTCTTTGAGTTTAGACTAAACTTATACAAGGTAACATGAGATGAAGACTTACAAAAAGCTTTTTTACAAGCTTTTTTTTTTTTGAGTTTTTACATTTACGGTTACTTATTCTAGTGATAGTTTGGTAGAGGTATTTTAACTTTTTATAGTTTTATAGATCACGTTAAGTAGCCAACATTTAACGCCATTTTTACTCCATAAACTTGTAAAAGTAAGTCTTCGACAGAGCACATCTTCAGATGTAGTGTACAAGGAAATTAGAAGATATAGTATGCTGTGAAGTTGGTAAAGATGATAGGCTTTTGTATACAATATTCGCAGTGCTGAAGAATGTTGTAGTATTAGTAGATAGGGGTTTTGTATGATAAACTAATACCGGTTAGGGTAGAAAAAATGTTTATAATAGACAGTTATGAGACCAACTAGGTTATATAGCTAAGAATTTTTGTCAGTGAGGGATGAGAGTGGACACATAATGACGGTTATGGAAATACATAACAATACACGATTGAACGTATTTGAGAGTGTTATAAGGTTAGCAAAAGTGTCTGGGAGATGTGACAGATAGTGTTTGTGGAGGTTTAGTAAAGACTTTTTAGTTATATTTTGTTACGTGTATGTGTCAATGTGTCATACATGATGAAGAAGCTAAAATTTGAAAATATAATGGGATCCTTCAAAATAGGAGGTTTAAAGATGGTCAAATCGTATGTACGGTGAGGTTAGTTTAGAGATTAGTTGCGACTGTGTAAAAACTCTTGAAATATTCAGAAAAATAATAATACGTTAATATAATAATATGTATATCCTTATTGTCATCATAACACATCACAATAATATTATAGGAATAAAAAAATTTAAACAAATTAACGCTACCCAAAAAAAGCAAATAGCCTGTGGATAAGTGTAGATGGGTCTGAAGAGTGGGTAGCTAAACATAATATTAGTATTATATTGTGTGACACCCTGTCTACAATTTTACTTGACAATCATAAAAAGTCCGTATTGGATGTGTGATGAGTTTTAATTGGAACGTGACGCTAATTAATTGATTTTGTATGTGCTTTTTGGACACGAAAACATAAATCCGTGTAATTTACATTAAAACAGTAATAACTTTTTTGTTGGTATTTTTAATTATGTACTTGGATCGGCAACTCTGATTAAAAACCGGCACCTCGCTCTAATATACTTTAACAGTCAGTATAAAACTACTTAATTAGTGCCTTGGTTTGAAGAAAAAAATTAACAAACCGGAAAAAATGTTGACGACTGACGTACTTGCAGAATAGAGATGTTAATTAAAAGTTTTCAATCAAGGGTTGGACAAAAAATACTCAAGAAATTGTGTTGTGCTAACGGCGTACATGCAGTAAACCTCATGACCTATTTTCTGAGCATCATTAAAGTTATTCGCGAAGTTCGGTAGATTATTTGCGCACCCTATTGAAACAGCGCGTACAAATCCATTAGAAACTGTAGTGGATGTTATGTATGCCTATCGGAATACTTTATATATCTATATATAAATATGTATGTAAATTGGTTTTAAGTATATAATTAAAAAAGTTAAACCATATTACAATCTAATATTTATGTATTATGCATTTCATTGTTCTAAGTAACTTGTTTAAAGTTCTTACTAATCTAACAGCACGATGTAGTATTTGGTTGTTGCCGAGAAAAAAAAAACACCCATGTGCTAAAACCTAATTGTTCATAAGACATTAAAACGTGTAAAACGATTTATAGTAAGTAACATATAGGAGGTTTTATTTGTTATTTTTCATTTATTTTACAATGGAGATAGCACGTTGGAGATTTTATTATATGATAGCTTATTTTTTTCTGTATCCAGGGATACCAAAACCTCAAAATCGTAAAATTGGCACTTGAGGTTTTTTTGCAATGACGATTTATTTCTTCACATATATATATATATATGAGTGATATGACTAACAATGCCATATGTGTGCAGTGTGTCGTTGTACATTTAAATTACTTTATACCATTATAACTATAAGTTAGTTAATATTATGAAAGTCATATACGCCTATGTAGTTAATTTTACTTGTTATTGTTCTATTATTATGTTTACTGATGCTGACGAAATTTACAAGCCTAAAACCATCCGTGATAGTTTTGAACGCCATGAGGGATAATTTAACACTTCAATCTGGTCATTACCAGTTTTAAATGTTTACTCACACACATTGACTATTTAAAATTAACATAGAAAAAAGTGTGTAATAAATTTCAATTTTGAATTTATTGTAAAATATCGCTTCGATAAAAGAGGCTAAGCGCTCTTATAACGTGTTTAATCTTTATATAGACATACGATTGATATCCATAAAAGAAAGTCGAAACTAGGAACATCAAACGGCGCCAGGAATAAATTAAACAACACAGAGACGTTTGTCTTTCTCGCATGATCTGGGTTGCCAAATAAAACTAGGTCACACCCATTCCGAGAAACACTAGGGGTAGATATATGAATATCCTTTTATAATATATATATTATTTATTTTATGGCGATTTATGAACTTCAAGTATTGGTAGTGTATTTGAATAGATTATATAATAACAAATTTTTCAATGGTATATATATTTACAGTTATATCATTGTTCTAGGAGGAAGAGTGGCAGCGTTGGGCCTTAAAGAGGCCTGATAAGCTTGATGATGATATTAGTGTTCTACGCTTTAGCTAGCTACAGTGCATCACTGCGCCCCAATTATTAACGTACATAAATTATTATTTTGGCTTTGACTGGATGACAATGAACAAAAATTGTTCTGCGTGGGTTAGCTGCTGTTAATTTTCTGTACAGTATATTATGCGCATGTTATATGTGACGATGACGTACAACCATTGGGAGACACACACATAATATATTAGGTATATACATATATAACGAGAAACCGTTTTGTCTGTAATAATGAGTTATTGTTTGAATATTCAATCTAGTTTTGTCTGGACGTGCTGTTTTTTTAAATTTAACTTTAATTTAACTTAATATTGCTGGTATTCTGTTATATTTTCTTCCCTGAAATAAATTGACACCTTGTAAATTAATAATCTGTTTCAATAGAACGTTTATTTTTACAGAATTTTACTACCGACTTATGTTCCCTTCACTATGACAGGCTTAAAATTGTATTCGTAAAGCACTTATTTTAGTTTGATAAATAATTATTGTAAACATAGTTGAGGCCTTTGTAATAATTCGTATTTTATAGACGCCCTTTTGGTTTTTTATATGCAATTGAAGTGGTATACGCCCTTTTAAAATGCAATACATGTATATTTATTCTCGAGAAGGA